AAATCGACAGCCAGCTGGGTTGGTCATATTTTTGGCCTTGCTGCTTATCTCGTTATTGGTCGGCCATGCTGGGAACTGTGAAGCAAAGCGGAAACCATAGTCATCAAATGCAGTGACAAAAAGCTACAAAGGTAAAGGCAAACATACTTAATTCTGCATCGAGCTGCTCTTGAGACTTATAAATCAAAGAGGCGACACTGGCAGGTTTGCGTGATTGCAAATATGAACTAATGGCGATGGCAGTATTGATGTCGGTAGGTTTTAATTCAGACTCATTAAAGCGGTAACTTGAAGGGGGAAATTGAAAATGGTCAGATGACCAACACAGAGGAAAATTTCCCTCCACATCCTTAGCACCGTGGTTATGGAGAAACCATATCTGTTTGCCAGGATGTGCAGAAACTTTAAAGAACTGACCTTTAAAGTTCTTAAAAGACTCAGTGTAAACGCGGAAGAGTCTACGACCAGGAATGCCATGTATGGTAACCTAACCTTTTCGTTCGGGTGGTTCGCGACCGGTTTGACAGGAAAAAACTTGGAAATAATAAAAAAAGACGGAGACAGAAGGGGGGAGAGCAAGGTAAGCACAAAAACGGTCAAATGCCTTAACAAAACCCCAGCCGTTGGGATGAAGTTGGGTGGGTGACAAATGAAAATAATTAAGAACATCCATTTGGAACTCGGTAAAAAGAAACCGAATACCCAGCTGGCTAATAACATCACGGTAAAAGAAAAAGAAAGAAGGGTTCTCTTCTGCTCTCCCAGAACAAACCGGCTCATCTTCCCGGGGTGGAACTATGTCATAATTTTCTAACTGCCCAACGGGAAGACCTGCCACATCATCCGAACTCATTTCGGAAGTGGTGTTTAAGACCTCATAGGTCACCCACGGAAAATGGGACACAAGAGAAGCAGGAGGGGACTCAGAACACGACTCAGCAGCACCTGACTCATCTACAGCTTCTTGAGCGAAAGATGCCATAAAACCTAAAAACAGGAAAAGACAGCAATCAGGAAAGAATCAGAATACCTGAATCACAAAGGCTATCAGAAGAATCACTAGATGAGGATGATGACGAAAAATCGGAAATCATAATAGGATCATTTGCTCTTCCTGACGCAGAAATAGATTTATCTCCATGCCGGCAAGTGGCCAACGTAGACTCGGTGAAAGAGTCGCAACCTTGCTCGACAAGCTTTGAACTCAAGTAAACGCAAGAGTAACATAGGACACTCCTTGGGAAAAAGGAAGAGTATGGGACAACTTGGATGTTGGAGAGAGTTCTCGAAGGACTCGTAGGTCGGCTAGAAGGCCCAACTCTGGGCTGGGGAAATGGGTGTGAAGCACGCCTGTTTTCGTTATCCCTAACCCGGCGTGACGAGCCTCTACCCCGAGGATGCCCCAACCCTCTATTGGACATCCCGGACACTCTCCGAGATCTACCGCCACGGCAACCTCGAAGCATAGCTTCCTGTTCTTCTTCTTCGGTCCTAGGAATCCCCCAAAGCCAAAAACTAGCATCGGGAGGAATCTTTTTGAAAAAATCAGGATCTTCCTCCCTCTTCTCTTTAAAACACAGCTGAAGAAGGAGGGTTTTTCCCCCTCATTTGGTCAAAAAACTGAAAAACGTTAAATGTCAAATAGCAAAGGGACGCGAAGAAGGAAGGCAAGGTGATACCACCAGAACGACAGGAGGGAACATACAAGTTCTGAAAGATGCAAACTATGGAAGTTTTTCATAGGTTCTGGAGAAATAACAGAAAATCGACGAAGGAAAATATGCAACTTCAAATTTAAAAAGCATGCTGGCGAACAAATGTTCAAATGCAGAACCACAAAATAGAAGCAACAAAAAAATGGAGATGTGTGAAATACCTGTTGACAGAAAGATGAAAGACTGAGATTGAAAGGCTGGGAGTAAGCGAAATGAGGTTGATGCCCAATGCTCAGAAGGCAAACAAAAGCATGTAAGGGGAAACAGAGGCTTATATAGCCAAGACTAGTGACCATTGGGGTTGTGAGTACTAAAGGTTAAGGCTATTTAGGTCTTTCCGCTCCTCGAATCATAACTTCCACAATCGTGGGAGGAAACCGCAATTATCATAAGCTGAAACCACAACACGGAGAAAGCCAAGGGGCAGGGGCATTACTGCCAATTCGCTTCAAAAAACAATAATTAGACAACTGAAACGATGCTGCAATAAATGCGAATGAAATGCAACAACGACATAGAACGGCTGCAGCACGCTAAAGCATGCGGGCCGTACCATGTGGCAGAATGAAATGAGTACAATTCATAAACCAACAGATAAGACAAGATATATACATATGCAATCGTCAACCGGGTTAAACACCTGATGCTTGGGGAAACTCTATAGTCGAACCACGACTACTAAAGCTCATCTGTTACCCGGTTACTACATAAATGCCTCGTCAGGTTCATGCACAACCCGTCGACCAAGTAAAAAGGCATAAACACATATTCCGAGTAAAGGTATACCTCTTGAGGGCAACCCGCCAGTTGGATTCCAACAACTTAAGCGTATCCCTAACCCGGAGTAGGAACATGGTTGATGCTCAACCTGCAAATATATGGAATGAAGGAAAATCGTCCCTAGCATAAGCCAGGAACTCGGAATAAACATAAACGCTGACATTGAGGGACAACGCGACCGACGGATCCCGGCTGCTCAAGATTATACCCAATCCAGAAAGAGGGGTACGAGAAATATCTCACCGGGTTGAGGCTCAACCCGTCGACATAAGGGGGCAAGAGACACCCCGTGTGGAAAAAATTCCAGAATATGAGGAGCATGCAAAGTTTGCAAAAACGCAAACACATTCAGGGGCAAAAACCTGAAGAGATGCACACATAAGTCCACCCCGACTACCCAGATGCCCAGGTAGCCGGGCTGAGGGGCAACTGTTATGGACCCATATAAGGGGCCCATCAAGTTGTAAGCCCAACAAAGGGCAATCCAAGATATGAATCAATATTAATCATGGATAGATATCCATCAAAAATACTAATCCTAATATGACAGCATAGAAAATATGTCTGGGCCCTTACCAGAGGCACCAAAGGCCCATCCATGCTACCTACAGGTAACCTCTATAAGTACAAGGTAAACACTAAAGGTACGGTACGCTCTCTCTCTCTTACTATTATGCTGTCACTGTGCGCACACACATACCCCATTAATGTCGTTATAGTATTCTGGGCACAGTGATCTGCTTGACTCAAGGGTATCTCATTCATAGATAACTTGGAGAGGGCACTAGATCCAAGAGAAACATACCAGTCCATTTGGCTGGACATCTCTGTCTCAAGGACAGAACACATTCCTTCTACAGAGTAGCCGTTTAAATTTCAGGAAATCTCAAACAAATAGGCCATAAAAAAATATCATTAAGATTTTTTGAGTTACCTCAATTATATATATTAACTATAACATACCCAGTGATAGAATAGATCAGTGACAGATGTGGACAAGCTTGATTGAATAACAACTGTCCAATGTGCGTTCATAATTCACCATCTCTAAAGTACAAATAAGAGTCAAACAATCCATAATTCCCACCACAAACAATAGTACATACATAAGGCTGAAATAACGCTTACAATGATAAATACAAGGCAGAGAAAGAGATGTAACACCTTTGGCCGTGGCCCTTTATTTTGCCAAAACAAAAAAAAGAAGAGATATAAATAACACATTCTTCCTTTAGCTCTAGAATACTTAGTCTACCCTCTGTTCTGCATGACAAAGAAAAGAAAGTCACTCATAGTCATTTAGGGCATAAGAAACAAACTAACTAACGAAAGGTAAATAAGTAAATGCTGAACTAAACCATCAATATAGTTGGTAACATATTAATGCAATATTTCATAAAATTCCTTTTAAAAACATATATAATTATGAAGGCATTATTGAAATCTAATTACAAATAAAGTAGGCCATTCGAGTATTACTGGAAATAACCTTTACAGAATTTGAAAAGCAAATGCAATCAGCCCTTTTCAAATCTAAGTACTTTTCAATTTAACAGAACAGTGCAGCCTCCGCATATGTCTTACCAACCATGCAATCAGCCCTCCCCATAATTACTTGATAGCGATTCGGCAAGTGCACCGGTCGTAAAGTAATAAAGTGTACCGGAGTACGAGATCGTTCCCACGAGGATCAGAATTTTCAAGCACTAGTTCGCTAATTGCGTTTTAGTTGGACAATCGAGAATTTAGATGAAGATAATTGTGGTTCAAAAAACTTAAAAGTAAAAACAAGTAGAATCATGCAATTATGAAAATTCAGAATTAAAATAATGAATGAAGATGATGTTTGATTAAGATTTAAAACAAGCGTAGTTAAGGTTTCGACTTCCCTCAATATCCTCAATATGTTATGAATTATAAAGCAAGAATCTGTTTCTTAATATATTGCCAATCAATTCTATCTGAGTTAATTACGGCTCAATTCCTTGTTATCATAAATCTATGTAATCTTGAAAGAACTCTAGTTCTCCGATTATTCCCCAAGAAAAACATGCATTAAGATCAAGAATTATAAGATTGCATAATTACCTTATGTCTATTCCTATTCCTATTCCTAGATCACAAGGATTATGATAAATTATCAAGTCAAGGTTCATGCACCAACATTCCTATTGTCATACAATTCCCCAAAATCATTATGTTACAAGAAGATTGTCTAAACGTGAGAAGAGGCATTCGGTTAGATTGAATGAGTATGTAGCCTAGTCAACTACATGTATAGGCTGATTAGTGACAGGTGTCTTTTTACATTACAGGTGTATAGTTACAGAAGTTAGTGAGATTACGTGGCTCTTTCATTGATGTATAAAATAGCAACTGTTGTGAAAACAAGAATAATCTGAATAATATCATTGTGTTCTTCTTTTCTAAATCTCTTTTCTTCTCTGTTAGGTGATAACCTAAAAATTGGTGCTTTCATTCTTTGAACGCCAACTGTTCGTCAAAATGCGTGTGCAGGATCTCGCTGAGGAGTTCAATTCCTTTCAGCAACGCGTCGATACTCATTTTGATGATCATCAATCGTTGATGTCTCGCGTCGAGAACAATCAATCTAGGATTGAAACTCGTCTCGATGATTATCAAACTCAAATGAATTTGATAGTTTCTCAATTACAGCAACTCAATACTACTGTTCTGGCTTTTGATATGCGCCACCGTGAACCTTCGATACGACCTCCACCATCTCCTCCACTAAATGGTGTTCCTTCGGCTCCGTTTGAATTGCGACAACCGGATGGTGTTTCTTCGGCTCCGAATGGATCACGAGTGGATACAGATATTCGGAATTTATCACGAGCGATTCGATTGGAAATTCCTATGTTCAGTGGCGTAGATCCAAATAATTGGATTTTTCGGACTGAACTGTTCTTTGTTCTTCAACAAATTCCGGAAGAGAGTAAGGTGCCTATTGCTGGATTGCGCATGGAAGGCATGGCATCCGCGTGGTATCAGTGGATGTTCAGCAGCGGTATGCTTCGTTCGTGGGGAGAGCTATCACGTTCTTTGCGTGAGAGGTTTGGGGCCTCTACTTATACAAATTTGAAGGGGGTTCTTTCTAAATTGACCCAATCTGGATCCTTGTGTGATTACATGCAACAGTTTGAGATGTTGCTCAATCAAGTCCCTGGCCTTGATGGTGATTTGTATCTGAGTTTCTTCGTCTCGGGATTGCAACCAGAGCTCAAGAGTGCAGTTCAACTTCGTTGTCCACAGAATTTGCACCAGGCAATGCAACAAGCAATGGCCTTTGATGATCATCACTCAGAACTCCGAGCGTCTTTTGCTGTTGGGGGAAAGAAATGGGTTCCTAAAGGTCATGGTTCTTATGATAATTTGGGACCTTCTACTCGCGGTTCCTCCAATTCTACTGGTCCTCATCTTCAAGCTTCCATTCCTCAGCTTACCGGTTCTAAGCAGCCGTTAGCTTTACCTCCACCGCCGGCTATGAAGAGATTTTCACATGCAGATCTGCAAAAGAAACGCGAGTTAGGGCTCTGTTATTATTGTGAAGAGAAGTGGAATTCTAAACATGTATGCAAGAACAAGTTTTTGTTCATGGTGGGATTTGAAGACGAATTTCAGCAAGAACCAGAAGAGGAGGAGGAGATTGTTTGGCACTCTGAAGATTTGACTAAGGTACCCAGAGATGGAGCTTTACACGTGTTAGGTGGTACCACAGGTACTCGATCTTTACAATTTTTGGCTGAAATTAGGAGCTGTATCGTACCTATTTTAGTGGATTCGGGTAGCACTCATAATTTCATCAAGAAAGAGTTAGCCACTGAATTGCAGCTGCCTATGCATCGTGCCAAGAGGACACGCATTTTTTTTGGGAAATGGAGAATTCTTAGTTGCTGATCGTACTTGTTTAGATGTTTCCATTGAAATACAAGGACACTTGTTCGTTGTAAATCTATGGGTATTGGACTTACATGATCTCAAGGTTGTGCTGGGCATGCCATGGTTGGAAAGGTTGGGCAAGGTTACTCATGACTATGTGCATTTGACCATGGAGTTCATACAGGAGGGAAAGCAGATCATTCTGGAAGGACACAAGGAGCTTGCTAATTCTAAGATATCGATGGATGCTAGTGAAGCAGCCTTGGTTCACTGTTTTGCTTTAATTGAAACACAGGAGGAGCAGAATTCACTTCCAAAACCCGAGTTATTGGCTCTCAAGGATTCCATTTCTGAAGTGTTATGGTCTGTTTTGTTAGAGCATCAGCAGGTGTTCCAAATTCCTAATGAGCTTCCACCATTTAGAGGCTTGGATCATACTATCCATGTGGTTGAGGGATCAAAGCCAGTGAGTGTCAAACCTTATCGTTATGCACATCATCAGAAATCGGAAATAGAAAAGCAAGTTTCTGAGTTAATTGCTACTGGGTTTATACAGCATTCCCAAAGCCCCTACTCATCTCCGGTTCTATTAGTGCGCAAACAAGATAATACTTGGAGGATGTGTGTCGATTACCGGGCCTTGAATGCTATCACAATCAAGGATAGGTTCCCTATTCCCACAATAGATGAACTCCTTGATGAGTTGGGTGGTGCCAAAGTGTTTAGTAAGTTGGATTTGAGGGCTGGTTATCACCAAATTAGAGTCTTACCTCAAGATGTCCAGAAAACAGCCTTTAGAACTCATGAAGGTCATTATGAGTTCTTAGTCATGCCCTTTGGCTTGACCAATGCTCCTGCAACATTCCAAGCTGTCATGAACCACCTATTTAAGCCTTATTTGCGTCAGTTCATAATCGTTTTCTTTGATGACATTTTGGTGTTCAGCAAGACCATGGAAGAGCATGCTGTGCACTTGGATGTGGCCCTAGGCTGTCTTAGAATGCACAAGTTCTTTGTCAAGCTGTCTAAATGTTCAATTGGAGCAAATTCCATTGAATATCTTGGTCATATTGTATCTAATCAAGGAGTAGAGGCAGATCCGAAGAAGATTAAAGCAATGGTAGACTGGCCTTTGCCATGCAATGTGAAACAACTGAGAGGATTCTTGGGACTCACAGGATACTATCGACGTTTTGTGCGCAATTATGCAATGATAGCTACTCCACTAACTGACATATTGAGAGCATCAGCAAGATTTGAGTGGTCAGCGGAAGCTTCTCATGCATTTCAACGTCTGAAGGAGGCTATGTCAGGTATCCCTGTTTTACTTTTACCTGATTTCACCTCTTCCTTTGTAATTGAGACAAATGCTTCGACTAATGGAGTGGGTGCAGTTTTATTGCAGCAAGAAAGACCCTTATCCTTCTTCAGCAAGAAGCTAGGACCGAGAATGGCTAATGAATCCACTTATGTGAGGGAGCTTTATGCAATCACTTCTGCTGTTAAACGCTGGAGGCAATATCTCCTGGGATCTTCATTTGTAATTCGGACAGACCATAAAAGTATCAAAGAATTGCTTACTCAGACCATTCAGACCAATGAACAGCAGAAATACTTATGTAAATTGTTGGGTTATACTTTTAAAATTGAGTATAAGGCTGGCAAAGCTAACGTTGTAGCTGATGCATTGTCCCGAATGCATGAAGATGGAGCCATCAATGCTTTAGTCTCTGAACCTGTGTTTAGTGTGCTGGATGAAGTGATAAAACAGAACAAAGAGGACCCATTTTTGCTGCATCACCATCAGCAAATTGTTTTGGACCAGTGAGCCCCTCCTTACTTGACGGTGAGAAATGGTATCCTATTCCATAAGAATAGATTTTTTTTGAGTTCAACATCCTCCTTGATTCCTACAATAATTCGTGAGGCACATGGAACACCTATTGGAGGGCATGCTGGTGTCTTGCGCACCTTGTTGAGGCTATCAGCAAATTTTTATTGGAATTCCATGCGTAGGGATGTGAAGACCTATGTAAGTCAATGTATTGTTTGCCAACAAGTGAAGTATGAAGCAGCAAGGTATGGAGGTCTATTACAACCGCTACCTATTCCTGATGGCACATTTGAAGACTTGTCAATGGACTTCATTGTTGGGCTGCCATTATCAAGGGGTTATACCACCATTTTAGTCATTGTGGATCGACTCTCCAAGTTTTCATTTTTTGGTCGTTTATCCAATTCTTTCACAGCAGCTGTGGTGGCTAAATTGTTTTGTGAATTGGTGGTTCACACTCATGGATTCCCATGTTCCATAGTAACCGATAGGGATCCAATATTTGTAAGTCGGTTTTGGTCTCAATTGTTCAAATTGAGTGGTACAACCTTGCATATGAGTTCCGCTTATCATCCTCAATCCGACGGACAAACCGAAGTGACCAATAGGTACGTGGAACAATATTTACGTGCTTTTTGCCATGAGAAGCCTCATTGTTGGTCTGAGATGCTTGGTTGGGCCCAATTTCATTACAACTCCAGTGTGCACTCAAGCATTGGAATGAGCCCATATCAGGCAGCTTTTGGCAAACCTCCTCTACAAATTCCTCATTACCCTCGTGGTTTGGTGAAAACAGAGGCTGTGGAATCCATGTTAACTCAGCGTGATGAGGTTCTTTCTAGGCTGAAGTTACATTTAGAGCAGGCCAGGAACAGAATGAAGATACAGAGCGATAAAAAACGCAGAGAACATTTATTCGAGGTGGGTGATCTTGTTTGGGTGAAGTTACAACCGTATAGGCAAACATCAGTAGAGAGGAGAGCTAATCACAAGCTGTCTAAAAGGTTTTTTGGACCTTATTCCATAATCAGGAAGATCAGTGATGTTGCATATCACTTACAATTACCTCCGGAGTGTAAAGTTCATCCAACTTTCCATGTATCCCTTCTTAAGCCTTTTAGAGGAGAGGATAATGTTCAACCGATTCCTATTCCTCCATTCACTATCGCGAACAGACCTGTACAAGAGCCTTTGGCTGTGTTGGCTGCTAGGGATGTACTGGTTTTGGGTAGGCCACGAAAGGAATACTTAGTTCAATGGACAAACTCAGTTCCCGAAGATTCCACATGGGAAGAAGAGGACCATCTCAAGAGCTGCTATCCAAACTTGCACCTTGAGGACAAGGTGGTTTTGGAAGATGGAAGGATTGTTACAAGAAGATTGTCTAAACGAGAGAAGAGGCATTCGATTAGATTGAATGAGTATCTAGCCTAGTCAACTACATGTATAGGCTGATTAGTGACAGGTGTCTTTTTACATTACAGGTGTATAGTTACAGAAGTTAGTGAGATTACGTGGCTCTTTCATTGATGTATAAAATAGCAATTGTTGTGAAAACAGGAATAATCTGAATAATATCATTGTGTTCTTCTTTTCTAAATCTCTTCTCTTCTCTGTTAGGTGATAACCTAACACATTCTATAAGGAACAAACTCATAGAAAGCATTAAAAACAGATAATTTATTCAATTATAAAAAGAACAGGATTCAGAGACAATTTAATTCATAAACATAAAGATTCAATTGGTTCCATCTACCCTTAACTACATAAAAGACTACTCTAGCATACTGAATTGAAAAGAAATAATAAAGAAAAAAGAACCCAAAGCCTCCATTGGTGTGATGTTGACTTGGTTCCTCAGTGTTCCAGCGCTCCACAACAGGATTCCTCCTTCCGTCTTGGTGTAATGCTCTAGAATTGTGAATTGGTTCTGAATTGGTGTCTTGGTCTTGACACCAGGCTCTTTATTTATAGCTTTTTGGGGTTGTATTCTTCATTAAATCTCCAATGAATCCATATCAGATTTGTGGTTGATTTCATCTTTGTTTCCTTTTTGCATTTGATATCTTGGAGATTGGTTGACGATTTTGAGCTTTTAAATCTTGTTGTGATCTTCCATCACATCTTGTTCTTGGAGTTATATCTTATCTCAATCAAGGTTGATGTGTTTCTTCCTTGTATCTTATAGAATCCTGCTACATATCTTGATCAAATCTTTTCCTGGACTTGCTTTGACCGCGTATGGACATTTTAGCGTGTTGTTTGCGCGCTAAAACGTGCTTGATGTGTATTGCTGTCTGCCTCTGGGCGTTTTAGCGTGCTATTGCACGCTAAAACATGCTCTTCTAAGGGAAATTGATGTTGTCAGGGCATTTTAGCGCTCTGTTGGGCGCTAAAACGCTCTCCTCCAGTGGATTTTGGTGTTTTCTTCATCTTGAGCATTTAAACATGATTCATGGACGCCAAAACGTCCTCTTATAGCTGGTACACACTTGAAATCTTGTTTCCTTGAGGCTCCAACTCAACTTGATGTCTTCTTTTGATTCCAAAGAGTCATAATAGGTGTCAAAAATCTCTTAAAATAAGAATTATGATAACATGTTAGCAAGATATTAATTATTGTGACTTTACAGTATAAAACCCTAATTCCCATGCAATTCATTATATATATCAAACATAATTAAGCCTAAAAACATGGTAAACCAAGGGTTTATCATTACTTCCCATTCCAAGATAACCAGACTCAAATTAAACAAGGTGCATACACCAAAACTGATAAAAAATGTCAATAAAATTCAACCAATAAAAAGCACTTTTACAGTCATTGCAAGACAATAACGTGGGTGCATAAACAGAAAATAGAAAAAACTAGGCAGTAGTATATGTTTTGATAGCAACATAATCAAGTAACCTATCATCACAAATGATGAATAATGCACGTCTTCAAGATGTTATAGATTATTGTGCATTTAATTCAAGAAGAGAGAAAATCCACTTTACCTTAAGTTTGTAATCAGGGTTACAAAGTTGAGGTCCAAAGCCCTTTCCTTAGCTAATAACCTAAACGTGACAAATAAAGTTACAAGTTCACCAAACTAGTTCGCTAATCAAAGAAAAATCGCAAGATGTGAATTTGAATCCATTATATTATATACATAAAGATGCTTATATATATATATATATATATATATATATATATATATATATATGATTGAATTTGTTAAAATTTGAGGATGTTTATATTTATATTTATTTATTTCAAAGATAATTCTATTTATATATATATATATATTGATTGAATTTAAGTACATGGTGATTTGAATTTGTTAAAATTTGAGGATATTTATATTTATATTTATTTATTTCAAAGATAATTCTATTTTAAAGAGTTTCTCTCTCTCTCTCTCCCTCTCTCTATATATATATATATATATATATATATATATATATATATATATATACCTGAAGTTCAACAAAAGATCAAAGTTTTGCTTGAACAAATCCAAAATACAATCTGTTCTGATCTTCTGAATGCTTTTTGGCAAAGGAAAAAACATATCGTAGATCTTCCCTATGAAAAGGATTTTAATGAAAGGCAAATCCCAACCAAAGCTCGTCCAATTCAAATGAGTGGTGAACTTCTTGCCTTTTGTCAAAAGAGATTGCTGATCTCCTTGCTAAAGGTCTGTTATTTATCTGAGCTTTATGTTAACATTTTAACATGTATTAGAAGTATATATGATTGTAGGATGAGAAATGAACAACAACAAACTCATCAGAACATCCTTCTTCAATTACAAAATGAAGAATCAACAGGAACAAGTATGGAAAATACTCTGTCTAAACCAGATGAGGATAAAAATCTTAAAGATAAAGAATTTATATATATATATATATATATATATATATATATATATATATATATATATATATATATATATATATAAAATGATTTGTAATGCGACTGTATATAAGTATTGATGCAGTCACTTAAAAATTACGTCGTTTTGGATGGGATAAAGGAAGTTCGCATTTAAAATTAATTGTAGAAAATAAAAATATTATATTTATTTCCAACTTTGTATGATTATGATTCTCCATATTTAATGTTTTATATTTATTTCCACATTTGTATATTATTGTAGTTAAAGGACATTTTCAGTTGGTTATATTATGTATATTATGTAAAACTAGTTGTGTCTCATGTGTAGCGTGTGTCAATTGGTTTAATTAATAATAAAAGAGGCTTTATGGTAATTGACGTTTCGCATTAATGATAATTGATGTTTTAACGTTTTGCATTATGGTAACGTTTCACATTAATGGTAATTGACGTTTTGACGTTTCGCATTAAGGGAAGTTAATTAGAAATAACTGTGATAGGCCAGTTATATAATAATTTATATGATCAATTTTCATATAAGGGTATCTAATAGAAAACAAACGTCCTTCTGAGTCTGCCTAGAAAAGTTGTATCCTATCCCTATCAAAGAAGATACAAGAACGGTGAAAGGGTTAAGGCTTAGAGAAAACATTCTACTGTTAAAGATCTTCCGCAATTATAGACAAATGTATGTTTATGTGAAACTCATGAATTCTAAAGATCCTATGTCATGTTCTTGACTGATTACTGTTGAACATAAATCATGAATTACTGATTAAATTGCTTACATGTGGTATCAAAGCGTGTGTTTAAGAATTTGTGTTTTTCCATAACAATTATGAATGAATTCTTAATTCATGAAAAGTTAGGTTTTGAAAGTTCATGATCATCATTGAATATAAAATTACTGTCAAATCGATATTTCTCGTTGAATTATTGGATGAAAGTTGCATTAATTTTGAATTAAAGTTCATCTGCATTTTCGATGTTGTGTCCAATATAAAGGATTTGAATTACTAACCATGAATCATGAAAAGCAATTAATTGTCTCAGTTTTTGTGTTAATGGATAAAGCATTTGAAATTTAACCGAGAGCATATGAATTTGGTCG